TATTACATACATTTCTGGAGGTTTCCATAAATGGGGATACCCCAAATGGATGGTTTATAATGACCACATTTCCGACGTTGTGAGCGGCAGTCCCCGAGGGCGCAACGGCAGATGGTCTCAGAAGGCGCAACGGCAGACAGTGAAGGGAGAGTTTCTTTGTTTCACCCAGTATTCAGACATCATATATCTATGTGATATATATATATATAAATACACATTTATAAATGATATATATACTGTATATATACACATCATATTCTCATTGTATACACAAAAATGTGTATTATATATAATATAAGTATATTACATGTACTCGTATATATCCATGTTTTTATATACGTGTGTATACACGCAGGAAAGATGCACGGCTTTCTGCGGATGTATTGGGCCAAGAAGGTGCCTGGAGGGCTGCCGGCCTTGGTCGGCCTTTGGGCCTTTCGGGATTTCCAATGGGGGGATAGCCAAAGATAATGGAATCATATGGAATATAGAAAACATGTGGGGATTTTTTATGATGATTTTTAGTGGCGATATTTTATGGCGATTTTTTATGGTGATGTTTTATGGCGATTTTTGGTGGCGTTTTTATGGTGATGTTTTATGGTGATTTTTTTTTGTGATTTTTTGTGGTGATTTTTTGTGGCGATATTTTATGGCGTTTTTTTTTAATGGTGATGGCGATTTTTGGTGGCGTTTTTCTATGATATTTTTTGGTGATTTTTTTTTTGGTGATTCTTTGTGGTGATTTTTTGTGGCGATGTTTTATGGTGATTTTTGTGTGGCGATTTTTAATGGTGATATTCTTGGCGATTTTTATGGCAATTTTTTGTTGTTATTTTATGGTGATATTTTATGGTGATTTTTTTGGTGATTTTGTTTATGGTTATTTTTTATGGTGTTTTTTGTTTGGTGATTTTTTATTGCGATTTTTGGTGGTGATTTTTTATGGCGATTTTTTATGGCATGGTGTTTTTTTTTAATGGCGATTTTTTTTTTTTATGGTGATATTTTATGGAGATTCTCTATTGTGATTTTTTTATGGTGATATTTTATGGTGATTTATTTTGGTGTTATGCGGTAATATGGTGAACTGACTTGACCTTTGGAACAATTTTTAATTTTTAGATTTGCATCAGTTGATTGACTTGCGACGTTCGGAAGTCTCCGGCTCAAGAAGCCGCAGAGAATGATTTTCTGTGGGATGTTTTCTCTATGTTTCTTTAGGTTTTTTAAAAGGTATGTTTTCTCTATGTTTCTTTGGGTATTTTTCTTAATTGGCCCGTGGGCGCGGAGCGTAATGATGGGAAAGATTCATTGATTAACTGGATCTCTATAAGTCTATAAGTGTATATCTTGGCACGAAACTTCTATTTTAAATACAGCGGTAGACTAAGTCGCCAGCGTGACCTACGCATACAATCACGCAATACGCAGGGTAGGGAAGCGGACCCAACAAACGCTCCGCACCAGAACGGAGAGAACGGTGGGAACGGGGGGAAAAATATGTAATAAATATCTGTAAACATATGTGTATATTAAATCTATCTCTATCTATCTAACTATCTATCTATCTAATCTTCTAAACCACCCGCCGACGCGTGTGGTGTCGTCCTCATCTGTATCCTGCGCCTACTACTATCGAGTCCTTCTAGCAGGTTGGATCCAAAGTAGTGTAGCAAACAGCTCCTGTTGCAAAGATCTTGCAACTTGACAGCGATTTGACATGCTGAACAATGTGTGTTCTGCAATTCCGGATTTATTCAACGGAAATTTCAAACAGCAAAAAAACTCTAATGCGCAGGTCATCATCGTGCCTGACACCAGCTTCGAAATCCCAATTGCTTACGTCGTCCTCATCTGTGTCCTGCGCCTACTGCAGCATCTCCACTATGCACAATGGAAAAAACAGGTTATATAAATTACTTTACTTCGAGTGATCCCCACCATGACATTTATACATTTTGTTACTGGCAAATCTTCTGGCATTCTATTTGGCATATCTTCTGGCATTCGATCTGGCATTCTATCTGGCAAATCTTCTGGCATATGTTCTGGCATATCTTTTGGCATTCTATCTGGCATATCTTCTGGCACTCTATCTGGCATATCTTCTGGACATTCTATCTGGCATTCTATCTGGGAAATTTTCTGGCGTTCTATCTGGCAAACATTCTGGCACTTTATCTGGCATACCTTCTGGCATTCTATCTGACATTCTATCTGGCATACCTTCTGGCATATCTTCTGGCATTCTATCTAGCATATCTTCTGGCATTTTATCTGGCATATCTTCTGGCATTCTATCTGACATTCTATCTGGCGTTCTATCTGGCACATCTTCTGGCATTCTATCTGGCCGTTGAGGTCCAGCGGTGCCCACTGAGCTCGGAAGGTCCCAGGTTGAGGTCCAGCGGTGCCCACTGAGCTCGGAAGGTCCCAGGTTGAGGTCCAGCGGTGCCCACTGGGCTCGGAAGGTTGCTGGTTGAGGTCCAGCGGTGCCCACTGCGCTCAGAACCTTGCGGTTGAGGTCCAGCCGTGCCCACTCAGATCGGAAACCGGCAGTTGAGGTCAAGCAGTGCCCACTGCGCGTGGAAGTTGGCGAAGAGATTGGCGAAGAGTTGGCAAGGCGGAAGTGGACGTGGAAGTTGATACAGACATGGTCGAGGGTGGAGGAGGAAGAGGAGGAGGCGGAGGAGGAGGAGGAGAAGGAGGAGGAGGCGGAAGAACAGCTCTGATAAAATCTAACAACCCTCACCTGGCAGGTGGGGAACAATGGTAACGAATCTCACTGCAAACAGTTTCTACTACGAAGATCAAAAAGCCCAACTGGGATTCAGGGTTTCCTTGTCAAATGTACCCGGCAACCAACTTTGAGCCATGCAAAACAGCTTTCACACTCCTCTTGTTTCATATTCCAGTCGACCCTATCGCAGCACAGGGTAGGGGCGCAGGTGAGAAACTTGGAGTAAGGCAAAATTTGGAATAAGGCAAACGCGAGATGTGTAGCACACACAGAGTTGCATGCTCTGGCTTTCAATCCTGCAGACTGATGCCCAAAAAAACTAGGTAGGTCACCCGTTGCTTTGTTCACATAAGAAAACCTTGAATCAAACATGTGGGCAGCATCCCCTGAAGTAGATGCACCTTCTTCTGGCGCAAAGGGGCTGGCCTGGCTGCAAGACAGGCTGTTCTTGGATTTTTGTCTGTCTTCTTTTGCCCTGGTGTCTGTCAACTCTGGGCCCAACAGAAACAATAATAAGGCCAGATCTATTTTACTTTCGAATATGGTGACCTTGACTGAAAATGCCGGTAAACCACCACGGATCACTGATTGGTCATTTGCCAATGGGTGCATACGGGATCACAGCGGCACGTCTTTTCCATCTATGCCATGTCCGCAATCCGAACTGGTCACTTGCCATGCTTCTAGGTCCCACGCCAAGCTTCTATTGCCAAAGTGCTGGGTTTGCAAGCACTGTGGATGGTTCAGGTTCCATTTGCCCTTAAGGATAACCTGCCCTGCAAAAATGTCAAGATGTCCTGTTATCCCTAGCATGGGGTGGAAAAATACGGACGTTTACACGGGCATCCCATCCATGTCGCGCAAGCTGCAAAACAGCGAGAAGGACAACCTACTATGCAAAAATCGCAAAATCACCGGGCTATGCGCTTGTTGCCTCACCCATCAGAATGGTCGGAAGCATCATCAACGTCGGGCTCATTGAGCTCGGTGAGCGTCTCAGCAAAATGTTCCTGAATGAGCTCTGACAGGCTTTCATTGTAGAGGATGGAGTTGGAGTCTGACAGGTACTGAAGGCACTGTCGGTCCAAAACGTTCCCCCAGTAGCTGTGGTGGGCATCGCTCCGCAAGATTCCAAGGTAAGGAATCTGCATCCGAAGGCGAGTGGATGCAAGGGTTCCACTGCCTGGGCTTAGATCGCACAGGTTCTTCACGTCCAGCATCTGCAACACGGCTTCCCAAAATTCGTTCCCCTTGGACTCCTGCACCTGGCGCAACAGGGCATTGGCTTTTGGGAGTCTTCTGGCCAGCTGGCTCCGCACCCGCCGCTTTAGCGAGCCTACTTTTCGACCCTCCGGAGCCACAAATCATTGGAAAAACACAGTGAATCGCGACTTTCCTACCTTTTCGCGCATCTCCATCTTTTTTCTTCTTACTCTTTCTCTTCTACTCTTCTCTCTTCTGATCTTTCTCTTCTCTCTGCCTCTGCCCTGCTCTGCTTTTCATCTGTCCATATTGTCGGAAGTTTGACTTCTAAACTTCCTTCGATGATCTCAACTTGGGTTACTTAAAAAAAGTGACCTAGGCACTGCCCGTTTGTTTGTGCCTAAGACGGCTTGTTTGATGTCAACTTGGGCCAATGATTCATATCATCAAAACATTTGTTCTAGGCACTGCCGTTTGTCTGTGCCTAAGACGGCTTGTTTGATATCAACTTGGGCCAATGACTCATATCATCAAAACACGTGTTCTAGGCACTGCCGTTTGTCTGTGCCTAAGACGGCTTGTTTGGTTTCAACTTGGGCGAATGATCCATATCATCAAAACATGCTGTGATCTAGGCACTGCCGCCTGTCTGTGCCTAAAACGGCTTCTTTGATATATAAACCAAATCACCGTGCTTGGTAACGCCATCCATTAGCTTCCATTAGCTGCGAGAAAGCTTTCCTCCGACTATCAGTCCCACGGGTGCTTCCCAATGGTCCCCCACCCAGCAAGTTGCCATTTTCAGGTCCTTAGACTTTTTAATTTTTCATGGCACCCCTTCTGGTATATATTCAGACACATATCCCAACATGTCTTCGGCCATATATTCTGCCATATCCTGAAATTGTCTCTGAAAGATCATTCTGACATCGTCTTACCTTTGTCCCATCATCTCCCCTGCACAAGGCATATCCTGAATTTGACATGGATGCCTCTTAAGTGGGATGCGAACTAAGTTGCTTTAGCGGGGGTCAGTTGACATCAGACAAATTGTCTACTCAGATTCTATGCCCAAGCCGTCATCAAACAAATCCCGGCTTGAAATCTTGACAAGAAGCAGCGGCACAGAGGAGGACTTCACCGTGTTGTGGACAGTGGCATCGGGGAAGATACGGGTCTTGTCAGACCGGAGAATGCGAGGCAACTTTCCGGGCGGGGAAACGTTGACCATGTGCAAATCATTGGTGTTGCACTCCTCATTCGACGTGAAGTCATCCTCCCGGGCTTTCACAGCCAACCTCACCCGTGGGACTGATAGTCGGAGGAAGGCCGTTTCACAACGGACAGAGCCAGCAAACACCTTTCGATTCCTCTTCCCTGGCGCACTCTTTGTGGAGCGGTAGAGCCGGTAGAGCACAATCCAATCAAACAGCCCGCCGCCGCCCGGGACCTTGTCGCCAAACGTCTGCTCGATCAATTGGCGGTTCGAGCGCGACCCACCATCAAAGAGCAAGAGCATCGAGGTCTCCTTGCACTGTGCTTTCATGAAGTCAAAGGCTGGCTGCAACGATGCTCTGTCCAAGGCAGGCACCTTTGACCATTGGTCAGGTTCGAGCTACAAGTCACTGGAAAAGACGAAGGCTTGGTGGCTGTCGTTCAGAACTCCTTCAAAATTTTTGGCCGGGCTCTTTGCAAACAAAGTAGCCAGCGAATCCATTGTGCGGCCTTGCCAGAGGCCCAACTGCACGTACTTCTTCCCAAGCGTCTGCGCCTCCCGCCACAAGTGGCTTCGCTCTGCTTCCCTTGCAGTCTTCTGCTCATCCTCTTGCTCGTCATCCCCTTTCACAAGATCCCTCAAGCTGACAGGCGGTGCTGACGTGGCTTCGCACGAAACATGGGAAATTGCAAGGGCCTCAGCCGCTGAAGATGCTGAATAAATTTCAAAAGGGGCTGCGCATTTAAATGCTGAGGATGTTGAGTGATTTGGAAGGGGCTGCAAAAGCAAGAAACAACTCTGGTGGAATGGCTCCTGTTGCATGTGTTTGTAGTAACGTGGTTTCAGAACTATAAGATTCCATGATGTCTCGCCAGTTCTGGCGTCTTGTATGAAAAATTGAATCAGTATTTTGGACTTGAGGATCCGGCAGCGGTGCATGAGCGCATGCTCTTCGCCAGCTTGGTGGTCACATCCGGCTTCAAGAGGTGGGAACATGGGTTGGACACCTTGGCGGCTTCCACGAAATCATAAACTCTACTGCCTTCAAACCACTTGCATCCAGCCCGTCTGTCACCCCACAAAGTGGATCCCTTTCCTCAAGCACATCTTCTGCTGCGTTGCTGCAGCCAGCATCCACCTCTTTGGGCACAGCGTAATGGAAAGCCAAAGGTGTGCCGAGCTTCTTCAAAGCGTCTGAAGTCTTTCTGGCTTCGTCTTTCAAGCTTCCCACAGGGGCTTGTTGCCAAGCAGCTTCAGCGAGCTGAACCATCTGGTGCGCAACTGCAATCTTAGCAAAGGTCCCGCAAGCCCAGCCCACCTCGTCACCGCGCGGGTCTATGGTTTCCACGTTGAAGAAGTCCGGGCTGCATTGGTTGCGGGCCACTGCCACATAGGCTGCCCCCAAGGTGAACTCAAGCAATGTTCCAGCGCCGCCTCCAGCACCAACATTCTCCAAAGTAGATCAAAGTAGCCACTTGCTTCTGACATCGCGTGCACAAGCGGGCCAATTTGGAATAATTGTTGGAGAAAACATCTCGGCCATGTTCTCGCTGGATGCGAGACAGGATCTCAGAAGATGCATCGCTCAGCATGCCTGCCACCTTCAAGGCCCCATCAAGAACAGTCTTGTTGATCTTGGTGCCGTTGAAGCGCACATTCTTGGAAATCAAGCTCTGGAGAAGATCCTTCTTGGTTGTTGCGGCCTGCTGGCGCTCAATGCATTGGACCTTCTTTGCGAACATCAAAAAGGTGTCCGAATTGCTTCCCTGTCGAGACTTGTCGTTGACCGTGAGGATCTCCAGGGTCACGCTGATGCTATCGGTCATGGCCAATGCCCTGACAGTGACAGACAGTCAAGGCCATCTCATGAAGCTTCTTGATCTGCTCCAAATCCGTGTCCAGCCATGCCCTGCACATAGCAACGTACCAGGCATAGAGCTGCGTGTGCTTGTGCAGAAGAGACAGCTTGGTTGGTAGCTCACCCGTGTTCAACACATGCTTGGGAGCAAAGCACCCAAAAGTGCCAAGAAAGAAGAAGCGATCTCCGGCCCCATGGCTGCAGCAAAGAATCTGCTCGGCCTCAAGGACTTCTGCATAGGGCGGCTCTTCAAGCAGCAATGTGTCGCTGGAGCTCAAGCCCGGGTCCAGCCAGTACAGCGAACGGCCGGCTTCGTAGAGGCCACTACGTTGGATAGCCTGCAGGCAATTTGCAGGGCTCCACTTCTCCTTGAAGTTCTTGAGGCCCTGGGACTGTGATGATTGGATCTCCAGCGGTGCTAGGTCTGCCAAAGATGCAGCTGATGGCAAGGCAGCTTTCGAAAGGAAAGTCGGCAAGGATTGAAGCACCTCAGAGAATCACAAGTGGCGCAGGGGGAAGCTCTCTGAAAGAAATCTAGAAGATCTTGCAGGGGCTAATGCTCGAAACTCAGGATGGCAAACCACAGAACATGGCAGAGGAGATCAGAGGAGTTCAATTAAATCTAGCTTGATTAATCAAAACCGACAGCAGTTAAATGGCATCATTCTGAATTTAGGAGTGGTTCCAGCAAACATATGCTGCCAAGTGGCCCAAGGAATGACACGCTTCATGATAGTCCAAGCGCCCAAGTGACGCCCTTCTTCTAGATCTGGAAGTTTAGGGGCTTGCAGCACCGGTGGCATGCCAGCTGTCTGCGGTGATGCTGCAACCACTTTGCTCACTGGCACGATGTTCTCCGGAGGCTGCTGGTCACGAGGCTTCAAAGCCTTGACGGTTTCTGCCGCAAACTTCGCAGCTTCTGCTGTCGTCAACTTCTTGGCTGCACTGCCACACTCGATTTCAGCTTCTGCAGGCCGTTTGGTGGCAAGAGCCTTCGAGGTCGAGGACATGCTGACTAGAGGCGGCTGCTGAATGCAATACGGGTCTGATCTCGCATGCGGCAGCGGCCGTATTCGCGAGCAAATTTTGTGATCTCTTACCAAGCCCCTTTGTAGCAAAAAGGGCAGGTAAAAAACACAAGGCAATGCTTCTCAAGATTACCCTCGGTGTTGCGTGTGCGACACTGACCGTAATATCTCAGAGGTTCGTATCATTGAATACCATGGGGCAACCCACATGATCTGATAGTAAGTGAGCGGAACTTGTGCTTGTGCTCACATAAGTTGTGCTCACATACCCCACCGGGCCTGCGATGGAAAATCATGGAGACATCCAAACCTGGCAATGGCAGCTGGCTCATGACGGTCGTGACAGTGCTCATTTTGATACAAGCCATGCTTCTAATAGCAAAGACTTGAGAGTAGGAGAAAATTACTTTACTTCGAGTTATCCCCACCATGACATCTACACGTTTTGTTACTGGCAAATCTTCTGGCATTCTATCTGACATATCTTCTGTTTTTTTTCTGGCATATCTTCTGGCATTCTACCTGGCATATCTTCTGGCATTCTACCTGGCATATCTTCTGCAATATGTTCTGGCATATCTTCTGGCACTCTATCTGGCATATCTTCTGGCATATCTTCTGACATTTTATCTGGCATTCTATCTGGCAAATCTTCTGGCATATGTTCTGGCAAACATTCTGGCACTTTATCTGGCATACCTTCTGGCATTCTATCTGACATTCTATCTGGCATACCTTCTGGCATTCTATCTGGCATACCTTGTGGCATTTTATCTGGCATATCTTCTGGCATTCTATCTGGCATATCTTCTGGCATTCTACCTGGCATATCTTCTGGCATATGTTCTGGCATACCTTCTGGCACTCTATCTGGCATATCTTCTGGCATATCTTCTGACATTCTATCTGGCAAATCTTCTGGCGTTCTATCTGGCAAACATTCTGGCACTTTATCTGGCATACCTTCTGGCATTGTATCTGACATTCTGGCATACCTTCTGGCATTCTATCTGGCAAATCTTCTGGCATTCTATCTGGCAAACATTCTGGCACTTTATTTGCTATATCTTCCGGCATTCTTTCTGACATTCTATCTGGCGTTCTATCTGGCGTTCTATCTGGCATATCTTCTGGCATTCTATCTGGCCGTTGAGGTCCAGCGGTGCTCACTGAGCTCGGAGGGTCCCAGGTTGAGGTCCAGTGGCAGGTTGAGGTCCAGCGGTGCTCACTGAGCTCGGAGGGTCCCAGGTTGAGGTGCAGTGGTGCTCACTGAGCTCGGAAGGTCCCAGGTTGAGGTCCAGCGGTGCCCAGTGCGCTCAGACCCTTGCAGTTGAGGTCCAGCAGTGGTGACTGGGTGCGGAAGTTGGGGAAGAGCTTGGCGAAGAGTTGGCAAGGCGGAAGTGAACATGGAAGTGGAGGCAGAGGTGGTGGAGGAGAACGAGGAGGAGAAGAAGGAGGAGGAGGAGAAGGAGGAGGAGGAGAAGAAGAACAACTCTGATAAAATCTAACAACCCTCACCTGGCAGGTGGGGAATAAAGCACAATATCTGGCATCCGATACAAAAAGAACATTCAAGCCACAGCTGCTTCGCGTGAGCCCAGACAATAAAAACAAGTATTCTTGGGCAGCGTACCCTGCACCTCTTGCGCGAGTCATACAATTCAACGTTTTGCTTCTTCTCGCGATATAGGCTGGCAGGCTGGGCTTCTTGAACGCAATGATCAGCCAAGGCAAATGTCGCCAAAGACACATGGAAAGGACACTTGTATAGATTGTCCATATCGCGTGGAACCCACACGGAGGACATGCCGGGGACATGCTGCAGCGTTGCTGCAACATCCAAGCACGATACCTTGATCGTCAGGATGTGGCTCTTCTCCTCCGCCTTCTTCTCGTCCAAAATTGACTGGAGCAAGGCGCAGCCGTACTTGTCTTCAAAGAATGGAATGGCGTAAACGCCGGCCAAAAAGTGAGCAACTTTATGCCCAGCTTGCCTGTCATGGTGAAACATGCCTAGCAGGCCTAGCAGAAATAAACTGTTTGGTGATTGAGTAATTATATCTTTTCTGGTGCCTACAACAGGCCAAATAAGCAATTGATTCTGATGCCAGGCACTTGCACACCAAGTTCCCCATGTCCCGGTGTTGGAAGGATTCCAAGATGTAGCCACGGGCCTCAGTAGGGTCCGCAAGGATCCTAGCTGCCGTGTCGGCACTGATTCCAACATAGAATGACCAAGCTGGAGCCTCGGGCATCCTGGCGAGCACAAAGCTGGTGAGGACCTTTTCACTCACACAGAAACATAGAGTTTGGTCCTGGATGCAGTGGACGCATGCCACTTCGGGCTGAGAGGGTCCCAGGTCTGAATCTCAAAGCCGCTTCCGGCTTGCTTCTTCACATATCCAGACTTCAAATCGAGATGGAACTCGGCCTCTGGGATCTCCAGCTTGAAAATCACCCAGATGCGGCCGGCAGCCATGAGCGCTTTGCAATCCTCTGTGGGTGGAAGCTTCTTGCGGATATGTTCGGGGTCACTCACTGATGTCCCCAAAGCCCGTGCTGATTGGCGCAATGCATGCTTGATGGCTGCAACTGGAGTTTGATGGGTCAAAAGGGCCTTTGCTGGTGCCACCTGGCAGGGTTCCAACCCTGTTTGCAGGACTTCTTTGACATGATCCCCAATGATATTCATTTTGACTATTGTTTTTTATCTCCTGCCAGCTGCAGAAAAAGAAAACGCCAAGCCAAAAAACAATCAACATAATCAACATCGGCCGGCCTTGCCCGGATTGCTAACGTTTTTCTCGAAATGTTCTTCAGGCAGTGCCACCAAGCCCAAAGACACCATGGCCATGGCTGCAAGAGAGAATGCGGTAACAGGGCCTTGAGAACTGGAAAAAAAACTTTCACTTAGACCCTCGCGCCAGGCAAACCCGCATGGGAGATCCCCCTGGTGCTTTAGGGGTAGAAACACGAATAAAGAGCGCATCAGTGCAGGCCAGAATGAGACTTCACTGTGGTCCATGTATCGAAACCTACGCAGGTACATGCACATTCCGGCCTTTGCTGCTACCACAAAGTAACACTGCATTAAAAGAATCTTGATTTTGTCTTAAGGATTGCTTCAGCACATGCAATCTCCTCCAAATGATGATTTCGATAGAACCTGAAAACCAAAGAGTCACCAGAACCATGGCGAGTACAATGCCCATGTCCGCACCAGAGACCCTGCGACAGAATGGCAACGGATCTCCTGCTGTGATGTCTCAATAGTCAAAGACTCGCCCAGATCGATGCCACCAAAGCTGGCCTATTGATGGGCTGTGTCTTTGCTGCTGTCTGTCAACTCTTGCTTCCAAGAAAGAGGAAACAAAGTCTGTCTGACGTTCCACAATAGTGAAAATGACTGAAGAGGCGTGCAAATGACGGCAATTGGTGTGGTTGAAGCTAGAATGGCAGTGGCATGTCTTTCTTATCTTCGCCATGTCAAAAATCCGAACTGGCCGCTGGCCATGGCTTGTAGACGTGCCTCCCTAGTTTGCCAGCACTATAGATGGTTCAAGGGCCATTTTGCTGTTCAGGGCAACCTATTGTGAAAAAAGGTCCAAATCTCCTGGTATCCCTCTATGGCGTTGCAGACTACAAACGTTGGTGTTAGTCGACTTTGGTGACTAACTATGGCATTCTTCATCAATCTGGGAAATGTGTCAATTTGCACCAGGACCAGCGGAGCTCCGTCTCCGTAGCCGCATCATTTGTGGCCACGATGCGTGCGCCGCCAAAGTCCTCAGAAAGCAATGGCTTGATGGTGCAAATATGCCTGGGTCGATTCGTCAACGATATCTACTGTATCTACCTACCTACCTATTTATCTTCCTATCTATCCTTCTACCCATCTATCTAGCCATTTTCTAATTCATATATTTATCCATCCATCTATCCATCTCTGTACTTTTCGTCCCAGTTGATCACAGCATGCAGACACTCCAAAATACCCAATGCTTCGCATCTCAAGATCTAGGCACTGCTGTCTGTCTGTGCCGAAGAAAGCTCGTGACAACAAAACTTGAGGGAATTATCCATGAATACCACCAAAACGTGTGCTCTAGGCACTGCCGTCTGTCTGTGCCTAAGAAAATGTCTTTCGACAAAACTTGGGGGAAGTACGAGCGTGACCTTTCGTACCCCCCCTAACATTAAGTCACCCCCCTCCGCATGGCACACAGTCATCCAAGAGTCACCCCAGGCTTCCAATAAGTCACCCCACGGCATGCAAATCATACTGGCACACCGGCCCCCACCAAAATTGAACATTACTTTCCGGAGATCTGGCATCATCGTGTGCCAGTGCGTTTTGCTTATCCCAAGCCATCCCAAAGCCTCAAAAAATGAAATCTGAACTACTCTCGCACTTGGCACACCGATTTTTAGGTTTCAGAGCTGATGTACATTTCCACGCTATTCCTACTGGTAGGCTGGCAGCATGTTTCAAGAAACATCTCAAAGCGTGCAAATCATACTGGCACACCGGTCCTCACCAAAAACAGCCTGGCTTCTTCAAACCATATTGACCATATTTCGATTCGGGGAATTGAAAGGAGAAAAAAACGAAACCAAAAACGAGACCCCTGGAGGCCCAAACGAGACCAAAAGAGGTTCAAACCCACGCAAGGGACCAGGTAGTAAGCCTCAACAAGCAAAACCAATAATTCGTGGGATCCTGCCTGGGGGGCTGGGCTGCTGAGCCTTCTCAACTGCTACTGCGCCTACTGCTGTAAAACAATGATCTTTCTACCTGAAAAGAAAAGCTTTACCATCACAATTCATCACAAGTATCACGTGTACTGTGCAAACAGCTCCTTGCTGAGTTCTCTCCCACAGCATCAGCAGGAGCTCGCAACGGTGCTTCGTCAGCGTTGTTGCGATTGGCCATCCTTTGTTTCATCCTATCGTTCTGTTTACTGGTACACAGCGCGGATAGATGCCGCATCAGTTCAGCTGGAAATGCCCTTCTGTAACAAATCGCAGTTGTACAAGGTGATCAGGGAAACAAGGGGGCACTGCACTTTACAGAGTCTAGAAACGCGTGCGCCAATACGATTTGTGTTGGAATGCTTTCTTCCTTGCCAAAGCCTTACTCTGAGGGACGAGGGTTGTTGACCTACTTCTGCACGGGACACCGTGTGTGGGACGACTTTCCGTGTGAGGAGAAACAAAAGGTCAACTACCCAGTATCCATGATTACCCCCCAAACATGTGATCTAGGCGCCGCCGTCTGTCTGTGCCAAAGACAGCTTGTCTCAACAAAACTTGGACGAAATATCCACGAGTACCGCCCAAACATGTGATCTAGGCACTGCCGTCTGCCTGTGCCTAAGAATGCTTGTTTCAACAAGACTTGGGGGAATTACTCATGTTTACCCTCCAAACATGTGATCTAGGCACTGCTGTCTGCCTGTGCCTAAGAAAGCTTGTTTCAACAAGACTTGAGGAATTATCCATGATTACCCCCCAAACATGTGATCTAGGCACTGCCGTCTGTCTGTGCCTAAGAAAGCTTGTTTCAACAAAACTCTGGGGAATTATCCATGATTACCCCCCAAAACATGTGATCTAGGCACTGCCGTCTGCCTGTGCCCAAGAAAGCTTGTTTCAACAAAACTCGGGTGAAATATCCATGAATACCCCCCAAACATGTGATCTAGGCACTGCCGTCTGTCTGTGCCTAAGAAAGCTTGTTTCAACCAAACTTGGGTGAAGTATCCATAATCACCCTCCAAACATGTGATCTAGGCACTGCCGTCTGTCTGTGCCTAAGAACGCTTGTTTCAACAAAAACTTGGGTGAAATATCTTTATTTCCTCCCAAACATGTGATCTAGGCACTGCCATCTGTCTGTGCCTAAGAAAGCTTGTTTCAACAAAACTTGGGCGAATTATCCATGATTGCAAGCAACCTGAGGGTAAGATTCCTGCCCTCTCAACAAGCTAGGCAAATGAGGCGTCTGAGTGCCTACGCTTTCAAGGTTGCCAAGGCAAATGCGCAAGACAAAATGAAAGGATTCACCCTAATGTGAATTGTAAAGATATTCTCCTTCAATGCACACTGCCTTGAACATGGAGTCTCTGACTACTGGATACTGTTCATGCACCGCTGCTTATTACATTTTCGGTAGGCCAGCCGGAAAATGAAAGGTGTGTATTCTGCTACAGGTGAAAATGTTACAAAGTATGTGTTGGTCTGTTTGTGGATGGTTGCGCCGAAGGGGGAGGCAAAGACCCACTGCAAAATGAAACCGTGTTATGACCAATGCGGCTACACTGTTGGCTGCCTCAAGATTTGGGCTACCCGGCTACCAGATGTTCCATAGAAATTCTATGTCAATCAATGCATGAGGAGGGCCTGTAAAAGCAGCAAACGATACAATGTTTCTGACTCAGGAAGGTATGGATGTCAAAGCCATCTACAATTAGCATAAGGGCTGGCATTGGGTCTTTGCTGTGTACAACCCAAAGCACAACTGCATGTATACACCACAACATCCACAGAACTCCGTGAAATTTAGAAAGAAAAATCCGAAAAAAAAAATAAAGCACATAGCCCCTCGACAGTGCAGTTGGCACTTTATATCCCTGGGCCAATTATTGTCTTCCCATAGGCTGTTGCATTCGTGCCAAGCAGCACGCACATGCGCCATCTGCAGAAGTTGCCTGCTAGGGTTGGCAGGCCGTGATGGCAGCAACGAATCCTTGGCCAAAGCTGCGCCAAAACCCACGAAATCGTGGGCATACGGCCGGGCACATGCGGCAGAATGTCATGTGCCAGGTTCTGTCATCAAAAAACAACTTCTTCTGAATACCCTTCGCATAGCCGGGTGGAACACACACTGCTTGGAATACCTACCATTACCTACCGGCGCAACCCTATCCACGCATTCCTCCGCAAACCAAGTGGCTACAGGACCGCCAATGACAACTGCATGGGCAGTAGGATCCTCAATTGTGACACCGTTGAATCACGACATGGAAGCACTCCAAAAGACCCAATGCTTCACATCTCAAGATCTAGGCACTGCTGTCTATCTGTGGCTTCTTAATGATGTGGCCCCAAAAAAAAGAAGACAGAGAATCACAAGTCTGGGTCAAAGCAATTAAGCCACAAGAACAGATTTGGAGGCCGGGCGGGCCCCCAAATCCATAAATAATTTTCGCAGGGTCGAAAGGCCAACGCAGTGAAATAAAATGTTGGTAAAACAGTGCCATAAACCACCCATTTGGAAATGGTTTATACAACCTATAATCATCTATAATCTATACAAATGGTGATTTGAGGGATGGTTTATTATTGGTTTTAACCACAATAGAAAACATATGGTGATTTGTTTTGGTGTTTTATTGACAACATATAATATATATATATATACAACTTAGATTTTTCGAGATCTGTAAGCAACATGGTGATATTGTGTGGGATCTATCAAACGGGAAAATCTTATGGAATATAGTGGTATATATGTATGTAATGTAATGTAATGTACAGTAATGTAATTGTAAATGTACATGTAGATGTAAATGTAAATGTAATGTGAATGTAAATGTAATGTTGTAATGTTGTAATGTTGTATTGTTGTAATGTTGTAATGTTGTAATGTAATGTAATGTAATGCAATGTAATGTTATGTAATGTTATGTTATGTTATGCAATGCAATGCAATGCAAAACAATGCAAAACAATGCAAAACAATGCAATGTATAGAACCAACAAATCTATGGCACTCGGGTTTGCTTCAAATTGGGATATACCCCCAAGCTATGGTCAAAAAAAAACTGGAACATGACAATTAAGCCAGTGGATGCTTCCTGGTACCCATAATTTTGACGAGGCGTGGCTTTAAGAAGTACGGATTGACATGTTTGATGGTGAAATCCCAGTACTTTTTATTGGGAAACCACCGCGTCATGCCATGGATATAGGATGGTGTCGGTGGACCTCGCGATGTCGATTTGCCATAATTTGGGATGGTCATCCCACCATATGATTCATAGGGGTTAATCATATATGTAGCATCCTCCTGGGAATTTTCCTTAAAAAGTTCAGGACATGATGTCCTTAAAAAACTGTATTTTTTAAGGGACATACCTGGCCGGCAAAAAAAAACAGTTCTATTTTTTAAGGAAATCCTGTTGTTTGACGGTCTCCTATTCTTTAAGAGGCCTTCCTTGGAAGATTCTAGGAACTGCACCATATATATATATTCATATATCATCATACACATCCACATATCTCTTTAACATGTACATGAATGTACATGATATGTATCCATAAAATCTTAAAAATATTCAGAACATTTCATGCTTGACTTCAACTTGGGTATCCAATTCTTTAAAGGGGCACCCCTTGGTGTGTTTGACGGTCTCCAATTTTTTAACGGGACATACCTGGCTACTGTGTTGCAATCTTGGTTCATTGGGGTTAGATTCTTTAAGGCTGAAATTTGCCCTGGTTCGCATTCTTTAAGAGGCTACCAGTGGTCCCTTAAAGATTCAGGGGTCAGGGTCGGAGGCCGAATTGCAAGGGGGATTATGTAGCCATCATAAGGACCCCCCAAATGGATGATAGGTTGTGCCACTGCCATCGCGGAGGAAACTCGCCATGGTCATATTTAATTTCCCATTTTGGATTTTCCTGAGAGCCCTGTCAACATTTGGAATCTCATTCCGTCCCATGGATTGCATTTTTCCCAGCTTTACAATTGGGGCATCCTCAGTTCTGAGACAAACCCCGGCATGGCTGAAAACTGTGGATGCCCAATGTTGGGATCAAAATTACTGTAGTTCACTATCACAAAATCGAACATGCACTAGCATTTTTTTACCCATCCATCCATGCCATACAAACCTTGCCCCTAGGACCGATGCGGTAAAACCAACAATAAGCCTTCATTCACATTTGAAGGCTTTTTACGACCCATTTCTGGTGATCTTGGGGATGGCTTACCATTGAGTTTCCCACATTTCACTACAAAAAGTACGGTATTTCGGATGGTTCAATCAATAAATATTCAAGAACAAAGAATCTAAGTTTTTCCCTTGTTTGGATAGTGAACTACCAAAAGAATGGCTTCATTTTTTCTGTGTCCTCCAGGTCTTGGAGTGGAGCAAGGACCCTGCCTCTGCTCTGGCCACAGCCATCTATCTGAACGACCGCTACAACTTGGATGGGCGCCGAAGCCTAGGGCGGCCCCAGGACCCTGCGGTGTAGATGTGCCAAGATTTGGTCATTTAAAAGTCATTTAGTTACCTGGCAATGGGAAGAACTGCGGATTTGTAAGGCATTGTAAGGCAAATCTTGGAAAAAGAGATTGTTGATGGTGTTGGGTGCTGCGATTGCGGTGTGTCAATTGAATTTGGTTCTGGAATGTTCTGGATATTTGAGAGTGTGCGGGGAAAGATGTCCTGAAATCACCTGCTTGCAAAGCGTGTAATGGTGGTCCCCCCCTGATATACTCTTTTCTCTGTTCTCTTTTGTTCTTCTCTTGCTCTCTCCCCCTCTCTTTCCATGTAACTATATGTACAAGATGTATGCAGGCAGATGTGTATATATATATACATATATACACAGATGATACTCAGAAGAGTCATTCCCACATTTTGATCGTGTTTCACTTGTCTATTTCTGGGGCCCCAGCATGGACTTTGAGGCGCGAGCCCAACGGCTACGTTGGGTGCATGTGGTCAGTGTGCGGTGTGTAGGGCTGCCCAGATTGCTCAGCACTCCCGCATCAGTCTCGCATGGGGGCCCTGGGGGGGACCGGCAGCATTTATCATCTCTATTTGTTGCATATCTGATAAGGTGTGCTTGATTTGTTTGTAGGCCATGTGGGCCATGTGCCATTCTATTTGGGACCATGTCATATTAAACTTCTTTTCGGACAACTGTTGCTTCAGATCGTCCTTGGGCGGACATTACTCCAACAGTTGGATGTCCCTCCGTTTGGACCTACCCAGATCCAAACGGGGTCGAACTTTGAGAGAATTTCAGATTCTGCACCATGGCGAATCGCATTTTTCATGGCACTCCTTGAATTTGAGTGATCCTGAACTGGCGCAGCCTGCTACGAAACTGTGGAAGGCACGATATGGGCTGGCCCGAGCGGAAAGTCTTTGGGAAGATTCGGTACATGAACTACGCAGGCGATTCGACTTGAGAGGCGGACACATATATCTAAAATTTTCTAAAATGGTTGTTTTTGTCATTGCCAATGCTTCAAATGTAGGCTCCAAGCTTCCACAGGGTGATCTCTTGCTGTGAGGCTGCAAGAGGAAATTCAAGGTGGAGGACTGCCGGTTTTCGCATTAGTCTCCCCCAGTGAAAACACGGCACCAGGCAGGTGGGGTCAGCTTTTTGATTCAAGTTTTAGGAGTTTGAAGCCCGATACCCTGCGCTAACGGCTGGCACAAAGAGGCAGGGCCTGTAGGGTACTTCAGCGCGGTGGATGATGGGAGTTGGGTGGATGAGGCGTTGTTGCCTGTTCATTTGGCTCATGGTTATCATTCAGACTAGATTAAAACTGTAGAGTCGCCATGAACTGGATGGTACAAGCCATCCACAATTGGTTTTGGAATCTGTGACTTTGCACGTTTTAGACGCGTTCGCGGTTGAATCTGTGTATCTCAGGGCAGCGCACCTAGTTGTAGCAGGAAAACACATCCAATTGCGGTTGTGCTTCGACTGCTCGGCCCTCATGGTCTGTGGAGTAGGGCTGTCACTACTAACAAGACTTGACCCCTGGAAATAGTTATGTCAAGTTATGTCATGTTGTCTCACAGACTGCGTTGCCCCCCCTTTCAGATCTTTTCGGAAATCTGCAGTTGATGAACAATTGTTGTGGCACAGCGGCACAGCGTTCCTTTTTGATTCCACCACTAGAAACAATTGTTTTGTTGACTTGCAGATGCTGCAGGGCAAAGAAGACCTGAAGTGGCTGGAATAGTGACCCTTTCGAGAGGTAGCACATTTAGTTTAGAAGTGGAGCTGCCCATCGCTTCAATCGAATTCGATCATGCAACGCAACACTGGCTGTGTTGGGCCCTAATTTCTCCTTGAAGTCAGCAGCAACGCTTGAAAAAGATCGGATAGCCAAGAAGGTGGAAGTGCGAAGTGCATCAGGGTTGGCCCGTCTGAAAGATAAAACTACTGGAAGTCAGACCCAGGCTTCATGTCCTCTAAATCTCATGCCATGAGCTTTAACAATGGGCCCAGTTTACTCAGCTTCAGCATGCTTCAGCCAAGTAGTGAGTTGAACGTGTCTTCCTAAAGGATCCTAAAGGATAGGCAATATCATGCAATATCCATCATCAGGTTAAAGCAATCTGATCGGAAATCATTGGGCATGTTCTTGCCCTTTGGAGCCAGCTCTGGATGCCCAACTCGTGTTTTGCTCAAGCTTGGTTTCGCGGGATCTTTTGTTTCCGGCGAACCGCACCGAACCCAACGACTTATTCGGCATCGAACCGGAAGTGGCGAGGCCCCTCTTGGTGACCCCTGAGGCACGTGGTTCAGTAGTGGGTCAGATGTGAGTGGGTTACCACCAAGGGTCATCGCGAGGGTTTCTTGAAACTCCAAAGAAAAATCTCAAGGTTTGCCAAAAGACCAGTGGGGTCTTGTGGACCCTGTAAGTCAAGTCGCATTTACCCATTTGACAGGGTTATAGTGCCAGAGCATTTAGAGTTCATTCGGCAATGCCCGTGAAAGTGAATAACTAGACACATCTAGATCCTGAAAGACTGGAGAAAAGGCCACTGACGTGACCCAACAAGTTGCAAAAGTAGTTTTCACAAAAATGTTGCGAAAGTGAAACGCTCAAAACGAGTCGGGGAAGGTGTACAGGGATTACAGGGAGAAATCCGATCCCGACGAAAGCCCGGGTTAGTATCAGATCTACAGTCTACCGTATTCATTTTAGGGTCCTATTGGTCCTATTGAGAAGGCTTTATCCTTGGGGTGGGATCAGAACCTAGCCTGCAAGTGTTTATACAGTATATATAATATATATATATATTGACTTATAGTATATATCATGGGATCCTCGATCTATCCATTGTTAGTAAAATGTAAGTTACCCTTTGGTCCCTCTGGTAATTTAACACAGTTGCCCATGGCGTTCGATGATTTCCCTATACTACAAATGGTGATGTTCCAGTTCGCGAACTGTTACTGCAACATTGCCAGAGGGTAGCATATTCCGTGAGTAACACTTCCGTTTTGGCCAAGCAGTCCTGTCTTTTTTGGCTGCCAGGGGTGGCCGGCGTGGCCATGCTCAAGGGGCTGGCTCTCGCCAACTTAGATGTGGAGAAAGCGGAGAAGGGCTTCCAGGCTGCTGGGACGCGGAGAGCTCCGTAAGAGTGGAGTATATTTCCTCATGCACATGTTATATGGATCATGTATCATGCATCGCATTTCACACATCAAGTAATCATGTAATCATGTATCATGTAAACATGTATCACATATTAATATTAAATGCTCCATATCAAGTCATATTAAAGTCATAAATTATTTAAACATACAAAACAAACCCCAAAAAAAGTATGGAAATTATTTAAGACCTCACTGACCTCCCTCACTGGAATGATGACTAGTAGGGGTAGCTATCTAGGTTGGAACTCAGTGGCTCACATGGTTTTTCATCGACTCCCAGATGTCTTGGGTAAGCTTTATAACTGATGTATGATACATGATATATGATATGTGATATGTGATTATGTATATAGATATCACATATATATATAATACACCCGTGAAATCTAACAAAGCAGGATTCAGCTCTGGCACCAACTCATTAACATAGCACCCGGTGCCGTTGAGCTAATAATTTGCATTCCCCAGGAATTGGACATCAAAAAATTGCGATGGGTGCTAACATGGCACCTGAAAAAGACTGACCGAGCTAGAATCCTGGAAGGCAGAAATGCTATGTTAGCATCAATTTGCTCAGAAAACATGTCCATACCCCTCACAGAGCTATGAAAACTTGTTCTTGAACATGTTGTACAGCTGCTATGTTAGGTGCTCATTGCTTCCCCATAGCTCATTCCATCTGTTTGAACTGGCAAAGGTCTGGAGATGCTATGTTAAGCACATAGTCAGTTGTTCTTTTGGGGTGGGTGTCCTTCCCAATCACGCACCCCAACCCCCTGGCGTTTGCGCATTCCACCCTCGAATGCTGTTCGTTTTTGATGTGGGCCATCACTGTTGGACAGCCTCTGTTCTGTACATCTTTGGGATTGGGAAGGCCACCAAAAAAGAAACACCCCACACGTTGTGAGAAGGGATGCTATGTTAGCGACATATTCTAGCCTGACCGACATATTCTTTGTAGCCCTTACGGAGCCGCGGCAGATGCCAGGTTAGCATCAATCTGACCACATGAAACTGATGTCGTGCAGCTGCTATGTTAGCTGTTTGCAACAAAAAACGAAAACTAACATATTGCAAAAAAAAATGTTTTTTTGCAACAAGATGGTTTTCACGAGAGTATTATGTATGATATATGATATGTAGTAAGTGTTTGTCCACAACTAGGTATGTATCTTATAGATTTATGGATCAGATTGGATCATCCAAGGCGCTGCGGGGAGCGTGGTTGCAGATCGGTACATGCGTGCCGGGACAGGCCACTCCCTGCGCGGCGGGACTGTACAAACATGGGGTTAGCCATCGAACATGGAGATAACCAAAACGTAATGGTTGGATATGGTGGGATATATGGTATATAAATGTATATAATAGAGTATGTATACATATATCAATGTCCTATTTATGGGTTTATCCAAACATGGGGGATGGAACCTCCAGTAACAAAGCCATCAGTAGGGAACATTAGATGTTCTAAACCATGGGATTGGGTTTTTTGCAACATTTTCAGACCCGATTTCTCCTTGGTGGCTCTGCAAAAACTTCACGAAAAAATCGGAGAGTGAGATCAGTAAGACCCCCATATATTGAGTTTTGGCTAATGCTGTAAATCAACTACTTAGATCTTCAAAGACCCAATGGGTTTTCCAAATGTTTTTTCCTCATGGGTGACCACTGGGGCTGGCAGTTGGGGAAGTTACATTCAGATTTTGGCCCCAGTTTCATGTGGCGTTGCTCCGCAAGGTTGCAACGTTGGCAGATATGTCTCAAAATGGGAGGTTAACCTTCGACTCGGGTGTTTGTCCCAATTTGTAAGTGGTTCAGTGGTTAATAAACCCACGTATAACTGGGGTATATCCCACATACAGCTGGGGTAAAATATGATGATAATGATAATCCACTTCCTAACTTCCGGATGCGCATCCAGGAAGTGATAGCCAGTTTTTTTCTACGGGGGTCTTAGATTCTCCCAGTTGAAAGCCAGACCATCCTTGCATATTTAGGAATCACCCAAATGTAGAGACATAGACGGGCGCTTTTTTGAAGGAATGGATAGGGGAATCATGACTCATTGGTATCACCATGTATGACCTAGATGCATTGTTCCCAGGATGTGCAAAATCCATCATTTCCAGTTTGTTTACTGGAGGTTTTCGAGCCTTTGATGAAACTGGAAGGTTGATGGTGCTTGAGGTTTTCATCAGTTTTTTCTCCATAAAGTGCAAAAAAACTTAATCCGTGCCAGGAGTGCTACAGCGACCAGATCCATTTGATGATGCTGCTGGTCCTTCTCTGCCTGACCATCGGAAGCATGCTCTGTGCACCTCGGCTGAGTCCAGAATTTGGGAAAATCATTAGTATACTAATGGTGGCTTATCATTGGGAAATGGTGACTTATTGGGACCCCAGTTCTTCGATGTCATCAATAGATCACCCGCAAAAAGATAGAAAAGTAGAATCCGATTCTTGAAGGGTATATATATATAACCTTTCTATCTTTTTGTGGGTGGTACTATAATAACTACCTGCCTACCTCATAATTCCCAGCTTAAACAACTTTCTACGCTCAGCCCAAGAGCATTATCCCCAAGCACTCACATAATTGAGATGTACGGCTCCACCACCAAGCAGTTCTCCTCTGAAAGTCCGAGCTTGGGACTGGAAAATCACTGGGGTTTGTAGCTGATTTACTGTCAAATAACGTGCCTTTTCCTAACCAACCATGTCGGCTGAGAGGGCTGATGCTTCTGGAAGTTTAACACCTCCCAGGCCTTTGGCTTCTTTCGAGAGGAGCTGAAATCGCTTTCATCTGCCAATCTGCCAACTGCTGGTGCTTCAACCAGAATCTAAGAGGATTCCCGGATTTAATAATCAATAATATGTTTTTAAATTATTTTTAAACATTTTTTTGAACATTTTTTTTTTAAAAATTGCCGATCATGGATATCATGGGGATTTAACAAGAAAAAATGGAGGATCTCAGAGTTATCCAATGGCGAAAACGGGTACGCACGGTACGCCGGCTTTCAGAAACTGCAGGATAACATGATAGGACTTGGCAATGAAATGATATGCTTTGGTATGGTCTGGCATGAAAGCCTGCGATACTTTCAATATCTTTCAATAATAGTATCATAAGTTTGACACAATTCATGCAACAGAGATGAAACCCGCCGATTTGATGGAACCAATCCCCGTGAACCCCCGTAACATAGGTCAGACATGGTCAGACTGTTCCAAGGCATGTTGTATGAATATCACTCGAGAGGATGAGGTAGTGTGGTAAATCCAATGAGACGCATGTTTCTTGTCCAGGTTTGTAAGGCACCACAAGACACCTGAATGTGAAACATTAGGCATGGTATGGATTGGTCTGCTCTATGATGAGGTTTCCCGCATGATCAGTGTCGTGTTGGGTGACGGCTCCCTGCTATCCAAGCGAGCTATACTTTCAAGGTCTCGCAACGCAGAAATAGATAGAACTACAGTAGTATGTTTATGTATGTTTGGCGTTAGATCAAGCGTGTTGTCATTTGGGTTCTTGGTTCTAGATCAGTATACTTGACATTGCTTGACCTTTTTTTCGTTTACCCTCCGGTAATCGTGGCAATGGAAAATGCCCCATTCATAGATGATTTCCCCATTAAAACCTCCATTTCGTTTGGAGATTTCCCAGCTCTCTGGTGACTCTACAGGACAAGGATGAAATGTTCACTCCGCTGACGCCCCAGGTGGGTCATGGGGGGTTCAGTAGGCTTGAGATGGCTTGAGCCATTTCTTGCTGGTATTCACATGTATTTACTTTCCAACCATCCATCCTATTTAGGCCCTTTAGGCAGCATTTCGAGCCTTATTCGCAATTGCAATAGCCCTCAAAGGGCACCTTCCCGCTGGCATCATCAAGCGACGATTTGTGTATGTGGCTTTGTCATAAAATGGGTATGCCCCCGAAATGGCAGTTTTGATTTGGAACATGATGATAAACCATGATAAGCCATCAAGATTGCAGGTAACCAGGTACCAGATTTTCAGATAAACTTGCCAGTTATTGTACGGAGCCAATTACGAATGCGCCAGCTGGTGGTGAAGAAGGAAGCACAGCTCAACATGAGATTTCCCTTCGACACGCAGGCAGGGGCCAAGGTACACCAAGTGGTCCTGAGGTGGGACCTAACAACGTAGCAGGTTAAACTTACCAATTTCCTCTGATTTTCGATGAGTGATGTGAGTGCACACCCATTTGTTGTCGTTTCTTTTGAGTGTTTTGCTCCAAGGAGGAGAACTTCGAGATTCATCGGATGGATGGAGAGGTTCTCTGTAGAGTGCGGATCCCCTTGGTGGGTGGAAAATTTCAATGGTTTCATATAAATATGGGATGGATCAAAAACTCATATATTATAGCATGGGGAATGCATGGGGTATCAACATCATTTTCAACCTCTACCAGCTTTTGGGGTGAACAGAAGGGTGCCAGGGTTTTGACAAAAAAAAACATATCTTCACCGGGGACTGCCTGCAAATCAAGGGTTCAACCGTCGTGAAGCTGTTGAGAAACATGGTCCGCAAGTGTCCCCAAGTCCAAGAAACGACAGATTTGGTGGAGGGTTGCCAGGTAGTTTGGACTCGTTCATTGGCTTCTTGGGTGGTTGGCTTTGGGACAGTTTGGGTTGGGAACGGAGCAACATGAAATATCCAAAAAGATGAACAAGTAGATGTTTTAATTCAACAAGTAGATGATTAAAATATATTTAGATTCTATATATTATCCAACAGCATGGTGTCTTTGGCCACTTTTTGGCCATCACCGGGTTGGTTGTCAGATACTCCCACCTTTGGTGTGCGGCTGGTGTGGCACTGAGGTAGCCTTGGAGTGGCCAGATCCCTTCCGGGAGGGCTCCTCGTCGAACGCAGGTGCTACCCCTGTTGGTTGATGATTATAGGGGATTATACTACCCAATATATTCGGGATTCTAATAATCCAAGAGCAAGAACGGGAAATCATGCAGCTGGGTCTGCTGTTTTTTTTGTTAGCTTTCCAGCTGGGTCAGCCGCCGGAGGCGTTCTCGGCAGCTTTAAGATCCAAAGCGCCAAGGGGAACAGCATCGCCATCGTGAAAGCCAGGTCGCTCCACTGACCTGGGGAAGAAACATCGAAACATTGCAATTTGGTGTTTTTTCTAAAAGAAAAGCGCTCAAAATACATGAATAATCTTGATTTTTGCATATTTTTGCTGATATTTGAACATGTAAAATATATATATTCTATATAAATGTTTTTTTGTTGATTTTTGGAAGAAAACCATTTGAACATTTGCCCGGGCAAAGCGAAACGGGGATGAAGTTGACTGTGACTACCCTTGAAAGTCTCGCATCTTGCCCAAGAGCTGCTCTTCAGAGCAGCACTGGTCCAAACTACTTTTTCCATTTTTTCTGGGGTGGCCACAAGTGGGTCCATCTGGGGTTGGCATCTGCTTCGGAAAGCGATGTTCCAACATGTGCAATCTGATCGGCATGTGTAAACTGGTCATGTTGTAAGATTTCAGTTGTCCTCCAGTTTTTGACGTCTACCTCATGCTTGGAGTTCTGCCCATTTACCAATTCCCAGCAATCCCATTGGTTTGGCTGTTTTCCAAACCAGGGCAATTAACTCCCAAGCCAAAGCCAGTTTTTTTGTTGACGCATGGAGTAGGCTGAACTTCCGATGGTCTTAATTCCTTCCTGAGGTTATGGTATCTGACAATTCGATTTTTCTTACGGGTCTTCAATGTACTCTCCTGAAATATACTCAAGGTGTATGACTGGAGGTTTCCATCCAGTTATTCTTTTGGTACCCCCAAAATCATTCAATAAACCATTCATTTTCGATCATTTTGGTATCTCCATTTCTGGACCCCATATCCCCAAGATATGGGGAAACCGGGGAAACCTGTTGCCTCCAGGCAACACAGCGCCATGGGCCAGAGCCTTCAGCTTTGTGCCTTGGATCTCTTGGATTTCCGAGGGTGAAACACTGGGAGTGCATAACCCACTGAGTTCGTGAAGTGGCTCACATAACCCATGTATAACCCATGTATAACCCATGTATGCATATGTAAATATATGTAAATATCTTACTTATAGTCGGTGGTTCATAACCACGTTACTCCCACATGATAAAGTCGTTGCGTTTTGATCTGTGCCAACGGGAATTGTTGCCCAGGAGCCTTCTGAGAATGGCTTTCGCTTTCAGCTTTTTTATACAATCATATACATGAGTCATATGAGTTATATATGGATAATTATGTGCATATATATATAATTATATATATATATGTGAAAGAGCCTGGAGCTCCTTTCAACACTGGCAGCGGCAATTTCCCTGAATTGCAGATAAGGTGTTCCCAACACCAAATGATCAAAAGGATGAACCAGTGTAGTTGTAAATTGGAACCCTGTCCAAAACACTCCAATCCCGCAGCTCCCAGTGTTTTCCCTGCAACACGGCTCGCTATGGCGCCAGTTAGACAACCCAGTTGCCTACCACTTCCGCTACCCTCCGCTGGCACTTGGGACGCGGATGCCGACGGAACATGAAAACATGAGTAACATCCCTGGCAAATAGGTGTCACATCAAGCTCAGCTGTAAATGGACAAATCACATTCCTCTTAACTCTTTTGATGAGACACAGGTTTGAGTGCATTGTCTTGTTCCTTAAGCCAGCGAACAGCTTGCTTTCTGTGAGCGTTTCTTTCCAGAGAATCATCCTCGTCATGAAGCTGGAAACATCCAGAGGCCAGCACTTGTCGCAACAGGATGGGATCCATTGGTTTTGTCAGTGCATCGGCAACTTGCAGTGATGTTGGGATCCATCTAAATTGGCTGTGTTCCAAACTTCTTTCTCGAATAAGCAAAACTTCTAATGTTGTTCTGAACTCTTCACATGAAGGAATCGCTGTTCGGCTCACCAAATCAAAAAGGCTTTTGCAGTCTGTGACAATGGTGGCCATCGGAAGTTGTTGAAATCCTTGTTTTGGTTCTCTCCAGGCAAAATTGGCAATGTTAATGGTTCCCCAAAGCAATCTCATCCATCCCAGGCGATCCACAGAGTTGGACATGGAAAAAGCTTCTGCCGACAATGTTGATCTCACCACTCGTGCAATCTTTTTGGAAACCCAGGTTAAAGGACTTAGTGGTGCTTTCTGGTTCTTCGCTAACTCAAGGTTGGTTGCACAAATGAGTGTTCCTTGAAATGAGGCTAACTGCTTTGAACTAGCAAATGAAGCATCACCAAAACTTACATGGGTCACTTGATTCACTGGAATATTTCGGAAGCACAGTTTTACATGGCTATGTTCTTGAGCTTCTCGAAGGACACGATTGGCAAGTAACAAGGTTTGAACCGTGGCTCTAGCAACCTGAACTTGCACTTCTCCTAATTTGGCAGCCATGTCCGGTCTTGTGTGAGACACTGCATACTGTAAGCTTCCGATTAAACCACGCAGTTTACTGAGTTCACTTTCGGTCACTGGGGATTCAGGCACTTGACGGCGTTGACGGCCCACATCAATGGCTGGGATTCCTCGGACATATTCTTCTTGTGAGGCCATGATACTACCATCTGGAAGTTGATCCAGCAAAATACCTGTAAAAACAAATTTCCGCTGTTTGAAAGTTCCAAAAGGTAGTGCCTTCTTCAATGCTTCCAGTTGTTGATGGAAAAACTTGTCCCCCCCACATATGCCATCATCTACGTGAGTACCAATAACACCATGTAAAGTTCTGGATCCATCTTTGACCGTTTCGAGAATAAAAATACATGGTTCCAGTGGATGACGTTTGAACTGTAGCTTCTGAAGCTGTTTCGAAAACTCTTTGTAGAACAAAAGAGGGGCATCAACTCGACCATAGGCATTCCCAACCAGAGAGCACACCTGATCGGATGATAAGTTCAACTTCTTTCGGAGTTCAACTGGTGGTTCCATCGCAAGAGGATTATCTTGTGCAGATTGACCTCGCAGGAAGGCTGTCTTGATGTCAAATGATGACAATTCCCAGCCTCGACTGGCGATGGTTTGGAGGACTGTGTGTCTTCCTTCTCGGGTTAAAGTCGGTGAGTCACGAGCTACCTCACAGAGTTTTGGATCTTGAAAACCGAGGACGACTAAACGAGCTTTTGCCTTACGTTGAGTCTTTTGACTGTCTTCTTCATTAATACTCTTCCATGTAAGAATCCAACGGCTTTTCAAAATTTGTTCGGGATTGAGATGACGCCTCAGGATTGGTTTCAGTGCATTTGTCTGAATCCAACAATTCAATTCGGCATCTTTGGCTTTCTCAAATTGAATCTTTTCATCAAGAGTCAAATTTCTTACACAAACCTCTGCTTTGGCTCGTTTTCCAACACTGGCTACCCATGCCATTTCTTCGGGTTTCTCAGCGGTGGCCCACTTCGCAACATCGGATTCTGTCAGATCAATAGACAAAGAGAAACACTGTTGTTCATCACATTCAAGAGGTGTGCTAAACATGGGAAGTCCATCTTCGGCTATTAGCACCTCGTTTTCCGATTTGTTACTTTGCAAAACTGTCCAGTCGTACAAAGGGTCTTCCTCTGAGTCCACGGGCACCGTATGGCAATGCAAGACTGGCATGGCATCGGTGGCTGCAGCATGTGGATTACTCTCTTCAGGATCCAGATCAATGGGTTCATCAGGCAGGGCTTCATGGGAATTTGGATTTTCACCTTCTACTGGTTGAGATGGCTGGTAGTTATGAGGAGGTTCGGGAAATAATTCACTTTCAGGTTGAGTAGATGAATGTGGCGTGGCCAATTGGCTTGGGGGGTTTCGGACAATTCCCTCACTCGGTGCTAGACTTGCTTCATACTCCATGGATTCAGCCGGAGTGGCTGGGGCTCTTTGGTTTTCTTCGATCATAGGTAAGTCTGGAACCCAGATCTGTGTTGAACCCTGAACTGAGTTCCACTCCCGCAGAGAGGCAGGGCGAATGCTCTCGGGAGCACATTTGAACAGCCTTTCGGCATGAGAACCATACTGCTGACGGGCTTTCTTGGTGAATTACCCTGGCGGGACCATGCCATCGTCCAGCTTCTTGACGACTTGTTCGATGCCTACGTACCCAGTACATAACCATTTGGCCAGGATTATATGGACCTCTCATAGGACATGATCTACGCAAGAGAGCTCTTCGAATGGCTTGATCATTGTCCGTCAAAAGAAAAGCTTTGCGGGCACGTGTCCTGATCTCTAGGGATTTGCGAAACAACTCACTTTCTGGCTCATCCCCCATGGCATGTAAGTGGGAAGCTGCACTGTCATCGGAAGTCAAACTTGCTGGAAGCTTCTGGGATTTTCCCAGTACTATTTGTTCGGGGGAAAATCCTCCATTCCGAGTCAGTGAGTTCTTTGCTTGAAAGCAGGACATCAGCACACGATCAAAATCTTGCAAGGTCTCAATGGATTGTTCCTGATCACAGCGTGACAGCATGCGCTTAATTACTTGACCATGTCGTTCTAGACGACCGCGCTGCCAGGCTTCAGTGGATATCAAAGGCTCGATGTCATGATTCCTTAAAAATTCCTTCCATTCATTTGAGATGAATTCACCAGCAGGATCTGTGTAAACTTGATTGGGGTTTCCAGCCCATGACGTCCAGAAGTTTGTCCAGGTACCTATGACTTGGTCTGGATTACGGGTTTCACATCGACGGCCAAGATGAAACAAGGAAGCCTCATCAATGCAATGAAAGACATGAACTCTAAAACCTTTGGATCCGGACCAATAGAAACCATCCATGCCTACCAAGTCATTGAAGTCTTTGGCCTCATGTAATTTGGCTGGTCGTTGGTGTTTTCGACCAACGGATTCAACACAGGCGTCACATAATACAAATTCCCTAGCGGCTGCTACCACATGTGGGGATGCATTCTGAGCTTTCAGGTGTTCAGCCAGCACATTTGGGTCAGGGTGGCCTAGATTGGTGTGGAGTTTCTTCAAATCTGATCTTTCTTGAGGTTCCAAATCACGAAATTTGGGGTGGCGGTGCCCACCCATCAAATTGAGCAAGTGGCTGGAATCTGGAAGCTCTGATCTCAGCATCTTCTCTGGGAACTGGCCTGGGGATTACCCCCCTGGCTTCCGGAACAAAGCTAGGCAGACTAGCCGAGGGCTTTGCAACCTCTTCCGCATGGATCTTGGGTTCTTCTACTAGTGTGCCAAAACTGGTAATCATCAACTTGGAGGGAACAGCAGTTCGTATACGTTGAGCTCGTTTCAGCACCAACCAGTCTTCAAATCCAAAATCGTAAATTGACCCTGTGCTTCGATGAATGCAGACTGTGTGACGGATGCTATTGTGGTTTCGATCAGGTAAATCCAAAGGCAGTTGAAATCTCTCAGTTCCTCGGCACACATAGATAACCTGGAGGTTCAGATGCGGCAACATGGCTTGCACCCGACGCGCAGCTTCATGGGAAGCATCAATCCGCAGATTACCAACTCTTGGTGCCACTGTTTCCATCAACTGAAACACAGGTCTCCAGAGTTCGGACACTGGAGAAGCTGCTTCCTCGTTCGGACGAGGGGCCTGGGACATTTCCTTGGCATTTACAGGTCTGTTTTGTCACAACAACATCAGAAACATCGGAAATCATTTTGGATTGAAACATTTCAGGCTTTTCTTCAGGCTGGGAAGGTTCCGGCATCGGGACATCAGGTATTTCGGGCACAGAGTCAGAGTCCAAATCAATCACATGTTTTGTTTTCAATCTTTTGTTTGGATTGATCATGAACCGACTTCTTTTGGCAGGTGGTGAATCTTCATGTTCGCCCACTAAAGTGTCTTCACATGTTGATTGGACTATCCACTTGGCAACTTGTCTGGCAAAACCTGAGCAATATGTTGCACAGAATCGTGTCAAGGGAATGTAGTGGCCATATACGGATACACTTCCTTCAATAGGCTGATGAACATGGTGGTGCTTGCATCTCGCTTTGCCAAGAAGAT